GCCACTAATGCTGTTGGCATGGCCAAAAGAGTGATCCAGCTGGTGGTGAGGTCCGATCTCCCTTCCTTCTCACGCCAGCCTTCTCCTCTCCCCATCCCTCCAACAACCCAACGACATGGTGTGCCTTCCCGACAGCACTCTGTCTCGGCTATGTACGGTTCTGCAGTCTACCTCCACTGTCCAGAGTCTACCGGATCCACAAGAGGGACCTACTGGCAGCTTCCCTCCAAAACCATCATCGAACACCGATATAGGTAACTTATTTTTGCAAATTTGTGAATCAGTTCACTACTGACTTTGTTATAAATAAATACATTGGTTTTAGTTTCCATATAACTTCACTGACTGCTTTTGTTCAACCTCGATTCTCTTCCCCATCTCCCCGCAGTCCAGAGAGACCAATTAAAGTTTTCCGTAATGGGACACTGAGGATACTTCAGCTAACAGAGCTGGATGGTGGAAATTATCTGTGTGTCTTTCAGCGGCCCAATGGGGAGGATATGGAGCTGTTCCAGGTATGAACAGGACACATAAGATCTTCAGGCACCTTTATTTCCCTGCCAACTCTGATCCACTATTCTTTTTTTCCTTTCTGGCTGAGGAAGGCCTTTAGTCAGTGCTTCATTTATGATTGACAAAGTCACTGTTGAACTGTAAGAGCCAAATATGTGGCTGTCCACAGGGTTTGTTAATAATAGGATTTTAATGTCTAATTTTCTCTTTATATTTCACAGGCAAGTGCTCATAGATTTGTATCTGTATTTGAAAAATGTATTTGCTTGTATTTCTCAATGTATTTACATTTTTCAGGTGGAGGTTATTATGACCCCTCCCAAAATCGAACATGTGAGGACTGCACAGACCAGGGTCACCTTTGGAGAGAATTTCCAGGTAGATTTTGGAAATCTTTTAATGTTTGATAGGCCAGGTCCAACACCTGTGTTTTAAAGGGTATTCTTTAGTTTTTCTATATTTTATAGTTGATGCAAATAGTAATACATTTGATGTCATGATAAGACAATGGTCTCATTTACATAACATTTTCATTGTTTCTTTAAGGGCCACCATTTATTGATTTTAGCAGCTTAACATGTAAATAAAACACGGTAAACAATGATAAAGCATATCACGAAACAATTATTTAATTTCAGTTACTTTATTGTTAATATATGGCATACATTTCTTACATTCAAGAACAATTCAAAATCAACCATAAACAAACTTACAGCAAAGATTTAAGAGTTTAAATTAAATCAACTACTTCCTCCACTAATTTTACCTGCTTTGCTTTTTTTTTAGGTGGACTGTGTTGCAACAGGCCTCCCTGATCCAGAAGTTACATGGAGCCTTCCAGATGGAACTTTAATTAACAATGCCCTTCAATCGGATGACAGCGGATATCGCAACCGCCGCTATGTTATCTTTGGCAATGGAACTTTACTTCTACAGCAAATGGGCAAGAGAGATGAGGGTGACTATACCTGTTATGCCAAGAACAAACTGGGCAAGGACGAAAGAAAAGTTAGCGTCAAGGTGGGACCGAATGCCCCGACAATTGGGTTGAAATCCCAATCACTGGTTACAGTAAAGTTAGGCGAATCGGCAAAATTTAGTTGTCTGGCAACTGGTGAACCTACTCCAAAAATCATGTGGATCTCACCAAGAAATGTTTTGATATCTATCTCATCAGATAGATATCAAATCACGGACGACGGGACGTTAGTGGTGAAAAAAGTTAAAATGGCAGATGAAGGCAAATATGCATGTGTTGCACGCAATTCTGCTGGGGATGATGTTAAAAACATGAAACTTGAAGTTGAACTCCAGGAACCCTTTATCAATGGCATGAAAGGGAGGAGCACCACAAAGGTTTTGGCAGTTTCTTACCAAACCGCTCACCTTGATTGCAGAGTGGAAGGAAAACCCGAACCAAGAGTATCATGGGTAACTCCTTATGGCCATTCGCTCCCATCACTGTACCTAGGCGGGCGCTTCCAAGTCCACCGGAATGGGAGCTTGGAGCTGAGAGGAGTGAGGAAAGCAGATGAAGGAAGGTACACATGTTTTGCTAAAAACAATCTGGGTGAAGCCTCACTTTTGGTTGAGTTAGATGTGGCATCAATAGCAGAGAAACCAAGTTTTGCTTTTCCCAATATTGAAATCTTACCAATAAAGCAAGACACAAGGGCGTTCTTCCTGGAGTGCCCTGCTCGTGGCAAGCCACACCCGGAATTTGCATGGGTTCTACCCAACGGGACAATGTTAGCCCCTGGTGTTAAACTCCAACGCTTCACACATCATCTGGGTAACGGAACTCTACAGATCTCTCATCCGGTTGCAAGTGATAAGGGAGTATACCGGTGCCTGGCAAAAAATGTGGCAGGACAGGCAGAGAAACGTTATGCGCTGGAGGCGGGAAGAAAGCCATTGATCAGGGGAACCCCAGGTATGCTTTTTATCTTAAATTAAGGAAGCAAAATACTCCTTAGCTTTGTCAATAAACTAAAGGTGTTTTCAAATCTACTGTTTAGATCAAATCACTAGAAGGGTTGGTAACTTGTTGCATTCCACTTAGTTTAGACATTAACCAAAACGCATCACTCAAAGTCACATGAGGACATTTAACAATGTGTCTTAAATCGATAAAGCCCGAAGAAGGGTTCCTTCTTCCAAAATTCCAATCACTAACAAACTGCTCAAGAGTACTTTTTTGACTGGTATGAGACCACTGTCTTTAAAGGGTCTTGGTGCCATTGTTTTAGACCCACACACAAGGATCATTTGTGTTTTCAGATTGTTCCAAGTGTATCAAACCAAGTCAATCAAATGAAATCAAACAACGCAGGTTTGAAAACACCCTGAAAGCATATGAAGAACTGATTGGAAATCTGTTCATGTTGCATTGATTTTTTTTTTATCAATCAATTCTGGCAGGATATTAACTTACTGTTATAATTTTACTTTTGCAGGTGGGATGAAGATTACTTACGGTCTAAATCTCAACCTACCCTGCACGGTGGATGGCTGGCCGCAGGCAACCATCACATGGACCCTCCCTAATGGTCTTGTTTTGGACAAACCTCAAACGATTGGCCGAGTATCTTTTCTTACCAATGGTACCCTCCAACTCAGGCATGTTGCCACCTTTGACAGAGGAACATACACCTGTAAAGCGTTCAACTCTTTTGGTTCGTCAACGCTATCCTACCCAGTGGCTGTTATGGTTTTCCCCCCACGTGTCACCAATACGCTGACCTCAATCACTAGAGTCAACCGGGGAACCCCAGTGAAGTTAAACTGTGTTGCGTCTGGTATTCCCAAGCCGGATATTTCATGGACGTTGCCTGGACGCACAACGCTAGCTCCACATAACCGGTTTGCAGTGCAAGGAGGGATTTACATGACAGAGGAGGGCAGTTTGGTCATACAGAACCCTATGCTAATGCACTCTGGCATTTACAAATGCAACGCTAAAAACGCACTTGGAACAGACTTCAGATCTACTTACCTACATGTGGTCTGAGTGACAGTAATTATTCTATTGGGAAACTGTCACAGCATAATTAAGACTGAACGCAGATTTTTCAAGAGGATTTGAATATCCTGCATAATAAAGATAAAGACAGACTTAAAACTGCCTGAATGGCAGTTTGGCTTGAGGACCCTTGAAAAGGTTGTGGACTTCATGGATAACATCCAACCTTTTATGATTTTAACTGAAGTTTTTATCCTGTAAAGGATGCAGATGTCTTTCTTTTTTTGACTTTTTAATGCATTTTCACTTCTGAAAGTGAATAATTAACTCACGGCTCAAGCTTTGGCATTATGGCATGACCCTGTAGATGTCATTTCACATTCCTCATATGAAATTATAATACGTAAATGTTTACCTCACCGTACACTTTATTTTGACAATGCTGGTTCTGCAACTGAGATAAATTAAGACTATTTTCTCTTGGTATTGATATATTTGTATGTAATGTGTACCCATGATGATTATTAATGTGTGCTGGTAGAATTACAATTTACAGTGATTTGAGTTTGCAGGACAAAAATGCTTTACCAAAGAGACTTTTTCCTGGGAACTCAATAACCAATTGTCCAGCATTTATTCAATACTACTTTACAACTAGTCAACAAGCAGTAATGAGGAGTGAAGTGTATAATTCCTGAATGCGGGTATATTAACTATTCTTTTCATATATTTATAAAGTGTCATATTTTATAAACATTGAGTGAGCATTGATTTTTTCTATGTGGATACAATTACCCCTTATTGCTGCTCTACAGCTGCTCTATAGTTTGTATCAGCAAATAAATTACTGTATGTACCAATGTCATTTATTCATTTTCCAAATGTTGGTAAAGAAATAGTTTATAATAATATCTAACTTGAGAGTTTACATTAACTATTAAGAGTTTCGGGACACCGGTACAAAACGAAGGTGAACATAACGAAAAATATGTATGTACTGTATATAAATTATGAGTAAAAATTAAAACATACAGGTATTTATTTTTGTCAGCCCGATTTGTTTACTGAAGGAAATGGTGTACAATGGTATACAAATTCCATTTAACAGCACAGTACGAAGACAATAGAGAGAAGTTACTATTGTGATTAACATTAATTAGGGCCATAACATTTTTAAAATGACCCGTAGTTCCTTATTATCCTATGTTGATCGTTTAGTCTTGAAGGAATTGAATGCCTAATGAATCAAAAGTATATCCAGGTGATTATTTTCTAGTTCTAAGAACTGTGATATCTGTTTCTGAGGTGATTGGGGCAAAACATGTGAGATTTTGAAAGGAGATTTGATTGTTTTAATGAAAATACATTGATTCATGCATCCAATTATGTTAATGCAAGCTATATTTCACAGTTGGTTTGTGTTCACCAGAATGTGAATGTCCCACTGAGCCTTGCTTCCAGACAAACAGCTCATTGACTGAGGAAGAAGGGAGCTCTGTCAGACACAAGCGTCGGGACTGTTTGACACAGCGCGAGTGTGTGTGTTTAACATGCGTGTGTGTGAGAGAGATCATGTGTGTCTTTTTTGAGAGACAGTGTGTATGACTGTGAGGAAGAGCTTGTGTCTTTGAATGAGGGAAACAGTGAGCAGGGAGCCTTTATTTGTGTCTGTGTGTAAGAGAGACATTGACTTGGCGAAGGAAAACAGAACTTGATTGGTATTTCTGTCTGCATTTCAGGCTGATATCAACAGACAGGCAGTGTGTGTACACGTGCATTTGTGTTGTTTTGTAAGTTAGTCAAAATGGAAGCAAAGCAGCTCTGACAAACAACAGCAAATCGCATGGTTACATTTCAAACGGTGAGTTACGCTAATTTCCTCTTTCTCTTGTATATTGTTTCAAACATCCTCAAGCATTATACTGTCTGATTTCACATTGAAATATCAAACACCCCCCCCCCCATAATCAAATATTTACATAATTAATTGAAACTGTGACATTGAACAGAAGCTTATGGTAAGCATGTCATTAAGATAATGATCTTAATGATGCTAATAGTAAGATTTGGAATGCTACAGTTGCATTTTTTTAAATGTATGTCAAGCTAGCAGTGTCGCAAATATATCTTAACAAATATTTGATGGATAAACATGGTGTTCTGCACAGATATTTATGAAGACAAAAGGAAGATTCATAGGGATTTTGACAATGTTTTGACTTTTCCTTCGGTCAGGAGAGGTTTTTGTCTTTCAGTCTTGACAACTATTGGATGGATTGCTGTGACATTTGGTTCAGACATTCATGGCCCCATTAGCTCAATCTTCAGGTCAAAATGTTCAATTATTCTAATCATTTCCAGCAAATCTACAAAACTAATAACATTTCCATGTGTGTCAGCTGTACGTTTTGTTAGACCGCCAACATGCTAATCTAAAATAGTAAATAGGACAAGCTTACTTGTTAAACATCAGCAAAATGTTCATTGTGAACACATGAGCATGCCTGTGTTAACACCAACACAATGCCATTGATGCAAAGTCTTGATAAAATAAATTGTGTTGCTTTTGTAACCAATAATAACATTTAACTTAGACTCCAGACACTTGCACAACTCCTTCAGTGAAAATTACTCGTCAAAACTAAAAATATGCTTTCAAAATACATGTACTTATTATCTGTCCCTGAACATTAGATAATGAGTTTATCATTCATGCATTAATGTACAAACTGACATATATTTGAAAGTAATTTAGGTTCAACTGTTGTTGTCCTCCAGAATTATTTTAGATCTTCACAACCTAACATAACATGTTTGTACGTAGGATAATGTATTAGCCATATGCTATTTTCACCTGTAGTTCTTGTGCCATATACCCAGAAGTCCCCTCTCAGTAGCCAGTCAGGCGTGCTGTACTGATTCTGCATCAAACACCTGCTGGGTCAGAGAAAATACAAATGACAAATCCTCTCTGGAAACAGTGCTGGAATCTCCTTAGCTGCAACCGCTAGGGCTATAAATAAAGTCCAGCACTTTGTAAATTACATTGACCTAAAGGAATATGCTACTGAAAGAGTTTTGTTAATTTGTTTGAGGGCAAGGCAGACAACATTTTGTATATACTGTACTGTATGTACTAAAAGGGAATTTCTGCTTTTTCTTTTTTCTTTGCACCTTGATGATTAATCTATTCGGACTTCCTGGTGACACTGCAATCCCTTGCATTACGGCCATGTTTGTTAATGGAATGTGATAATTGGACCAGCTGATCAGATCACTTGACTAGATGGTGTGAGAAAATCTGTTTCACTTTCTCTCTGGTAAAAGCAGCATTAACTTATATCCTCATAGAATGGCATGGCTATAAACTTTAAGTCAAATGGAAATCATATTCATTAATAAACTGATGGCTACAATTGTAATCTTACTATTGGTATTCCAGCTGCATTAAACAACAGTCTTTATGCATTGTTTAGTTATACTGTCTGGAATCACAATCTTCTATTTGCAGAAGATTTCTTACTTTAATTTCATTAAATCAATACAATGATACAGATGCATTAATGTGTAGGCAGTTCACTGTTGTAGCGGGTTTTGATATAGTTCAAGGGGCAGAAAAAGAAAAAAAAAACTAAATTCTTCATGACACATTTTTATCAATATTTTGGGCCAATCAATGGCTTTGTTTTTTCACACAAATGGAGGAGAAATAATGATTTGGTGAAACTGCTTTCAACTCACATGTGAACTGAGACAAGGGGTTACAAACTGATATAATCTTTAACTAAGAACTAAGCAAAAAGAGAACTTAAAGTCTACAAAAATAACAAAACCTGACAAGACTGTGAACTATCATCCCTTTGCTGAGGCCTGGCACGACCATACGTGGAAACAAACAAGGCAAACTGACGCAGGACAGGGGCAGACAGGACTATTTAAACATGAGGTGAGTGGGAACAGGTGGAAACAATCAGGGGCGGGGCAGACCCTGACGATGGCGGGAAAACACGCAAAGGGAGGAAGTAACAGGGCCTGAAATGAGAGACAAGAGGTAAGTACAAAATAAAACAGGAAATGGAAAACGAGACACGACATGAAACACGGGGACTTAACTAGAGATGAAAGACATAAATAGACAGACCTGTCATGACGTGAATAAACATGAAAACCTGACTAAACATGAAATGACAGACATAATACATAAACATAACCAACACATTTGACGAGACACAACAAAAGCACTGTTTGGCAAATACATTATCACTATTTTTAGATAATACACACTATTTTAAAACACTTAGAATACAAACAACCAAATGCATGCAGGAATGGACCCTGTACTGAACTTATAAACCTTACACGAGTAAGACATTTTGATAAGCTTGCAGAGTACAGTTGGCTTAACTTGCTTTTTCACTAAGCGGCCTGACGTCGGACTGTCAAATTTTGGCTACGGTTACATAAATTAACTGACAAAATAGTTTGTATTAATTAGCTACTTTCTTTGTCTCTTGAGTTACCATTGGGGGAGGTTACTTCCTGGTTCAGCAAAGGGCGTGGTCGAGTGCTGAGGAGTCATAAATACTGCAAGGAACCAATTGGGACATATTGGGACAAACCACCTGCTTCCATGTTAAAGGGGGGATTAGGATTTTGTCAGTGTCCTTTGTGTATTCTGTTACTATTAATTATCCCTTGATTTCAATTTGGTTTGGCCAAGCTTCTATATGGGTTCATTGGTTTTTCATTGTTGCACACGGTGGCCCTGAAGTGCAAGACACCACAGCATTTCACAAAACACCACAGCATTTCACAAAACACCACAGCATTTCACAAAACACCACAGCATTTCACAAAACACCACAGCATTTCACAAAACACCGCAGCATTTCAGAAAACACAACAGCATTTCAGAAAACACAACAGCATTTCACATTCGACGGAAAGGGTATTCCTTTAGGGAGAACACTTCTTGTTTATGATTGGACAGAGCCAGCCAAAGAAGCACTGCTGTCATTGGTTGTTTTTGCTGCCAGTCAAGAAATGACGCTTCGTGATTGGTCAACGCCCGACAGCGCAATATGTCCAAACACATCAGCCGTTAGCACACACTCAGAGCTCACAGCTCCTCATATCTGTTCAGAAACTGGACAAAAGTTAAACATGTACAAACCACAGACTGTCTATGTCATGGCGAATACAGTCGCTGCTTTATTTATGTCTGTATGACGTTGTGAGTGTGGACGGAGCAGCTACAGGTTAGTTTAGCCTGATGGATCCGATTCCATTCAGAAAACACGCATTTTAAAAGCTTTTCGCNTAAACAGAATCACACTAAGCCTGGTTAGTGTTGCCTGACTTTATATAAGTGTTTTTATAAGTGTGTGGTCGCGTTCTAGTCACTTTGCTCAGCGCTACTGCTTGTTACAACTTGTATTCGCCGATCTTGCTGGGTTGCCGAGTGGGGCCAGCTGAGAGAATAGACCAGACTCCAGCAAAGGTAAATTGTGTCTAGAGTGCGCCATCTAGTGGGATCAACTGAAATGCCGGGTATTGCAGGAAAAAGGCAAAATGAATGTGGTCTTTACTAAAATTTGGACAATTTTGTACAAATATTCAGCGGGCCGTATATGGCCCGCGGGCCTTAGTTTGCCCATGCCTGTTCTAGCTTCATGTCGAACAGTAAGTCAGCATTTCCCAGAGAGCTTTCTTTGAAATCACCAGGTAACGCTAAAAAACATTACATTTAGATTATATGACAAAGTGTTTATTTAATATATCTGGCTAGCTATACTTGCTAACGGTTTAGCTTACCCCCGCGATTCAAAGTAACGTCAACGTAGCTGTAATTTATCCTTTGCTTACATGTTCGCTTAACTTGGAAGTTTACTGACATTTACATACCTTGTTTACCTGGCTCAAGTGGTGGCTCTGGGGTTGTTGTGTGAGCCACCACTTGAGAATTGTCGTATTTTTTAAGAAAATGTTTTCTTATGTCCATCTTCAAAAACTCTGAGTCCGACTGACAGTTTATTTTAAACATTGTCACAGCTCACAGGATAGGTACCTGTCAGCCAATAAGACAGATGTTTATTTCCATTCAACTCTCTGGTTGGTCTGGTGTCTTGTCTCTGTTGCATTCACTGAACACGGGAAATTACAATCCTGCCGTCCTCTCTTGTGTCATGATGAGGTTCAAGCAAAGCTCGGTTAATGTATTATATTATTGACTCAATAATATAATACATGACTTTGAGAGTAGGCAATATAGGCATATTAACACAATTAATTAAACATACTTATCACGGCGACGGTGTACTGAGATTTATTTATTTTTTAAATAATTTTTTTTTTTTTTGTTGCTAGGGGGCCCCTTAGTGGCTGCGGGGCCCTAAGCGGCCGCTTATGTCGCTTAATGGGTCAGGCCGGCTCTGGGTGTGGAGAGAGATACAGGAGATAAAGAAAAAGGCACTTCAGTCAACTCATAGTTCATTTGAATATTATAAGCACCAAAATAATGCAATATTACTGCCACTACACATTTTCCCTCACATATTTGCATTTAGTTTTAACATGACCATACTGACTGTATTGAGGGTCTCAGGACAAATCTTAGTTGTACCCCTCCAATAAACCCCTATCCTCCCACTCTCTGCAATGTGTTTTGCCAAACTAAAGAGCGTAATAATGAGAATATAAGAGGACCCTAATTATATAAAGACTGTTCCTTTGCAAAAAGACACATGTTTTTTTGGGTCATATTTTTGGGGTTATATCAGATTCAAGTGTGAACTGATCACAGTCCTGAACCACACAAACAAAGGAACATCATGTACTGGAAGCCATTAAATGTATATGCCGTGTAACTGACTGTGATGCTCTGCTTTGCTTGATTACAATGATGAAAAGGAAGCCCTGTAGCTTCATTATCAGAAAGGTATACGCAGCTAGCCCACAGGCTCTCCTTCATATCGCACACTTCAATCCCAGGCAGCATGGTCTGTAGGCACTTCAGGGGACGCTGCCTCTGGATGAGGAGGTTCTTTGAATGGGTGGCCTTGTGTGGTGTGGTTGTTGGAGGAGAGAGAGGAAAAGTGAAAGTAAAAAAAAGGAGAGAAAGAGTGAGACTGTGGGGCCTGGGTGTGAAGACAGAAAGGCTATTGATGGACTTCAGTACATTCAGATGTTCAGATGAAGTTCTGGTAAAATATTCATGAGTTAACTCTTTGAACTTTTTGCAAGTTCCAGGGAATCAAACACAAAGACACTTGATTTTGTTTCATGTGGTCTCTCAGCGCTGTGGAGTCTAAGATTGAAAATATTTTTTAGGATTGTTTTTCTCTTTTTTCTCCCCCTATAAAGCCTTGTATTCAGTGTGACCACTTTTTTTTCAGTGAGCACAGCATACATTTGATGAGTAGACCCACTGACACTAATCATTAAAGAAGAAATCTGAAGAATTCTCAATGCCTTACCTGTGTACAGATTTAAAAGCATGCAGTCCTCACAGTGTCATTTAAAATACCTTTTTTTTTTTTTTTTTTGCCATTGGCAACGGCAGATTCATTCTCTTTATATGTGTGTTTAATGTTTAACCTTATACAAAATGTACAATATTTTTTTTTGCTACGGATCATTGTTTTCCACTCTCACATGTGACATGTGCAAACCTCTGGGGGGTAGCACTTAACACAGGCATTTTCTCAGTATTTGCATGAAGTGGTAACAGTAGCCGCTTTTAAATATAAAAAAGAAGGATCTCTTAAGAGAGGATAATTATGTATTCAAACCTTTATTTTTATGTCTGCTAAGGTAATGATATTGTGTTTCTTGCAAACTTTATCTCAAGCTTTATTTCTCAACTCTGCTCAATATCAACAAAAAAGTAGTGTGAACAGATATTTTGCACATGTGAGACCTGTTAAGCTCAAATAAAAAAGGCAAGCAAATAGTTTTAAGCTATCATACATCATCCCAGTGGCGTAGCCAGGAATTATTGTGTGGATGGGCCTGAAGATAGGTGGGCCAGGGGGAGACTTATTAAGCGTGGGGTCTGAGCTGAAACTTAATGCACTAATTGAACATAAGCATAAACTAGCAGTGAAAACAAAAGCATAGGCACGGCGGCCTCAGAATGTGTGTAAAACTGACATCCACATGACTAGGGATGGGTATCGTTAAGGTTTTAACGGTAGGCCTACTACTACTTTTATCGATACTGCTTATCGATCCGGTGCTTTAACTGTACTTTTATCAGTTTTTTTGGGGAAAAAAAGAAGCTAAACTAACTAAACAAATTGTGAACAAAACTAATATTGCTTTTTATTTAAATTAAATACATAATATTTAACATCAAAAGAAACAACAATCGTATACATCGTATTAAATAATCGGATAGAACTGTAAACAGAATAGCTGAAACTTTAACAAAATAAATAACTCAGTTACCTCTAATCATTAACCCATGTTTGTATAATTGAGTTAACTCCGTGTGTCGCTGCTAGCATTCATAACACCTGACGTGGAAACGTTACTTGTGGATGGGGGGGCTACAGCGCTACCAGAAAGACAGTCGAGCCCAGTGCATTTCTCCGTCTGAATGTGGTGCACTTTTGCTAAATGTTTTGACAAATTGCTCGTGTTACCGGCGCCCTTACATGCTAAACTCTTATTGCACTTTTGGTAACGAGCATCGAGACGGGTAAAGTTTAACCACACCTTGGAGCGCGTTCTCTCTGCCATCTCCTCCGTGTGTGTGTGTTGCTGCATGTAGCAGCTGCATGTGTGTAAACTGCCCCGCCCCCTCGCAAGCAGGCGGGGATTGGAAAGATCTAAAATACTAAAAATAATCATAGACGCATTTTGCTGTCTTTTTGCATATTAGAAACGGAGTTGGCGACACTAAAACGCAATATAATGTTTGTGTAGCAATAATACATATGACAGATATGTTTTACATGTCTCTCTCCAGTACCGACCGATAACGTCGGAGCTTAATGGAACCACGGTCTTTAATAATTGAGCCCTGGGGCCCGTTTAATACCGGGGCTCGGTACCCATCCCTACACATGACTGGCTCGGCGGCCACAGGTTATGTATCCTTGACAGTCGCACAGTGGGCACACACTGAGAGAGTCTTTTCATATTCAGCAAATGTGTACACGCTTCACTGCAGACCTCAAGAAGAAAAAAGATTTTAATTCACTCACGGCAAAACTTACTTTACTTACTAATTTACTCACGTTAAAAAAATGCACTCCCTATCCAATGTCATGAAGGTGGAATCTAACTATATCCAGAATAACTTTGAATGGATCCAGGCTATAAACATGTTTATTTCTGCTGTAAAGTTGGGCATTTTAACATGGGGGTCTATGGGAATTGCTCCTTTCTGCATCCATCCCCTGTTGGCCACTAGATGAACTGCAGTTTGTGGCACTTCCTTCTGGGCTTCCCAGCTCTGCGCTATAACGCGCTGATTGGCTGTGGGTGGGCCAGACGTGCATGTGGGTGGGCCATGGCAACGGCATATGATGACATCCCATAATTGACATAGAGCTGTTGAGGGCCGGACCATTAGCCATCATATGAAGTCTGGTGCCGTTTGGACGATTTCCCATTGAATTACGACAACACCAGGTTTTTTGGCGAAGGATACTTTGCCATGGCAACGGCATATGATGACATCCCCTAATTGACATAGAGCTGTTGAGGGCCGGACCATCAATGATAGCCTGAAGTCTGGTGCTGTTTGGACGATTTTCCATTGAATTACAACAACATCGTATTATTTGGCGAGGGATGCGTTGCCATGGAAACGGCATATGGTGAGATCTCAGATTCCAGGTAGAGATGTTGAGGCATTGACCGGTGGTATAAAAGTGAAGATTGGGGGACGATGGGACCTTGTCCATTGGAGTTACAGCTACACCGTGTTTTATGGCGAAGGATCCGTTGCCATGGTAACGCCAAATTAAGTAACATCAGATTTCACCTAGAGCTGTTCAGGGCCGCAGTGTTAACCATCATGTGAAGTTTGGTTGCGTTCTGAGAATGTCAGTTGGCGTTATGAAATCATCGTTTTCCATGGCGAGGGACCGCCTAGCATCGAGCGAACGCAAACTTTGGCGCCAAATCACGGCTACGCCGTGCGAAAGAAAAAGCTTTCCGTGATAACTTTAAATTGCCCATGTCTCGAGAAGCTACCCGACGAATTTCGAGTCGTACGGACAAAGTCCCTATGACAAGATAGATTTCGTACGGAGGACGAAAAACGCGATAAAGCGCGTTTTTCCAACGCCAAATTCAAAATGGCCGACTTCCTGTACGTTATTTTATACCCCTCCAAGAGGCTTTTTGGTTCGTCTCCGCACCTTAGATATGCGTAGTGAGTTTCGTTTGTTTACGTGAAAGTTAAAGTGGGGGGAGTTTACGATAAAAACGGAAGTGGGCATGGCCTACGCAATTTTTTACGCAAAGTTCCGGAACCAATTAAATATTTCAAGTTGCCACACTTCTGACGCGAGTGCAACATTTGGTGAGTTTTCACATATGTTGCGGGTGTCAAAAGTGCGTGCAAAATGTTCAAATAATAATAATAACAAATAATCGGTCTCAATAATGTGCTATTTAACATTGAGCATGGGCTACCTACTGCCATGATTTAGGACACTTTTAATGGGCTTTTGCCCCTTGTTTTCCCTGTTTTTTGTGGGTTCTGCATGGTTATCGCTCGCTTAGCGAGCGACTAAATTGATCGTAACGATATCAATATCGCGGCCTATCAGCCGTCATGATTTCCGAACCTTTTCTGTGCTTTTGCCGGTCGTTTTCCCTGTTTTTGGGTGTTTTTCGCAGGTTTATCGGTCGCGATTTCAATAGGGTCTTCGCCGACCTCTGGTCTCCGACCCTAATAATTAAATCTGAACTACATTTTATTTTACAATACTTCTCCCTTTAGGGCCACACTCAGCTGAAGCAGAGCATCGTTGGTATTGTTGTTGCATCTCTGGTCTCCTCCTTCCGTCCTCCCTTCCTCCTCCATTCCCCTCCCTTCACTCATCCATCCATCGGTCCAACCCCTCTCCTCTCCACACACTCACACCGACTTTCGCATCGCCTCCTCCGGCAAGATGACCAACGATTCCCCGGAGGAGGAGACCAGAGCTCCGGGCAGCGGCGGTGGTGGGATTGGTGGAGGAAAAGGGATGACACGAAGGAACCGAGCGGACGACAATGTCACCATGCTGACACCCTCCATGGATTTACACAGAGCCGGCCGGAGCCGAGCCAGCAGCAGCACCGATCCCGCCCCGAGCATCACGTCCTCCCTGGAGCTGAGCATCCAGACGCGGATCTTTAAGATCATCGTCATCGGGGACTCCAACGTGGGGAAGACCTGCCTCACCTTCCGCTTCACCGGGGGGAGCTTCCCCGACAAGACGGAGGCCACTATCGGCGTGGATTTCAGGGAGAAGGCGGTGGTTATTCAGGGGGAGACTATCAAGGTAAAATCAGCAGAGGGGCTGGATTTTAATCTGTGGTGTTCCCTGCACTCCCTCCCCATTTTTTATTTTTGTTGATCAGCTGCAGCTCAAAGTCTACCAGTGGCCTTTTCTTTCTTCTTACCCTCACAAAACAAGAGACTACACTCATAACGCTATTTAATTACAAATGTAATTTAAAATGTTGGAGAAATGAAACATGTATTGACTACATAGTCTTTGTGTGTTATTGTAGCCTAATGGTAAAATACATAAACCCATGGGTATTTTGAAAAATATTTGTATGGAGAAATCAATATGTTTTTTGCCAATGTTGATTAAATCTGAAGCTGATAATGGCGAACCTTTCAACCTGTATTAAGACATTTGTTTAGAAAACGAATATCCTTTTTATAAAAACCTACAGGTAAACAATTGATTGTAAATATGTAAAGAATACAACAAAATCAACTCAAGACCCCTCTGTTTGAGGGAGACTATGGCCATTTTCACTATTTTTAGATGTTTTAATATTATTTAATAGCCGGGTTATCGAGAAGATAAGATTAGGCATCAAGAATGAGAACAGTTGATAGTTCCAGCCCTAAGACCAGGTACCTTTTGTGTCCAACTCTAGCGTCCCTGATGTATTTGCAGGATGTCAATGAACAGACGTATAAATTTAAACAATTTCCCCTTTTAAAACCATGAAGAAAATTTGCTTTCCATTTTAAGTATGGAATGTATCACATATCAAACAAGTCACATCTAATTATACACTTGTACACAAACCAAATTAGAAATGTAGGCCATAGTACTGTAATGCTATGCTGGTAATCACTGAATTGAAATGTAATGATTTCAAACATTAGTATCAATGTATGTATAATGGCTGATTTATAGCTAAATCTATTTAGGAGCAGTAGTATTATAACATGCTAGTTACAATATCATGACAACAAGGATGAATCAAGATTGAGTTTTACATGATAAACATTGTTTTATATTTTGGCCTGTAAGTAAATATTAGGTTTTTATTGAGATGTATTATTCTTCTGTGTCTTGTTCATACCTTCCCCCTCCTTGCACCGGTAAATGAGCATGCAACCTCTCTATCACACTCACATAAGCCCATGCTCCCTTCCTCCTTTCTGTCTCAGTAACACAGTCTGTCTACAACCTCCAGATGCCCCCTAATGCTGACTCACAAACCCACTACACCTGTTAGGTCAGCTTGTCGGAATCATCGATATTCTCTTCAAAACATATATGAGGAATGAGGAACAACAAGTGTAAATGTATTTTCAACTTAAACTTTAAATCGACAGTTCACCCCAAAATCAGAAATACTTTTTTTCTTACCTGTAGTGTTGTTACAATTTGAGATAGAGCTAGTTAGCTTAAGTCAGCTCTGCCAAGGAAGATATTAGTCATATTTCCATGTAGCAAACTAGCTAACGTTAGCTAGCTTGTGGTGAGCTTTGCAGAGCCTCTTGTCCATGGGTATAAAACGCTTTCTTCTCGGTGATACAGTTGGCGGGTGTAGTTTGGTAAAATATAAATAGTTCCTATATGAAACGGCTCAAACTTAGTCTGTGGCTTATCTTGAGTAACTGGGTTATGACATCTTATATTGTGTGGCCACAGAGTGCCATATAGTTCCATTATATTGGAGACAAGGCAGACTTTTTCTACGGCTAATCTCTTCAACATTCAAAAACTTGAGTAAAGGATTTTTTTTTGGTGTGGTATCATTTGTGTCAACACCATAGACTGTATATGGTCAACACGTGAGAGCTGAAGGTTTTCCAGCATGCAGGTGTTTTAGATCCAGCACGCTCCAGGATAATTTATTACCAGAGCTGAGACAGGAATCTAAAATATTGTTATGTGGGTCATCCAGATGGTCATTTCATGGCCTCTTCAGTGGGCTATTTCATTTTACATTATTAGAGTGAAACGTAGGGCTACTTCACTGGCACAGATGAGCCAACAAGTCAAAATGTCCCTCACGGTTTACCTATAACAGGTAATATATAACATTTCCTCAAAACTAACTGTACAAAGATCTGGATGGGCGACTATTTATCCTCCGGTCCTCTGGCAGGTGAATAAAAATAGCACACAGACCAATTGTATTAACTGCAGAAGACTAAAAATAGCAGAGCAGAGCACTAAGTATAGACAAAGAGTTAGGTGTTGAAGTAAAGGTAATAATTCAGACGTTTGACTTTCATTGCTATTGACTGCAACATTTGGTAAAATATACATTTGGCTTAATTGTCTCATACTTACATTTACTGTAGGCTGGTTTAAAAACAGTGCACTTTATAGTTGTCACTAAGCCACAATTATAGATATTGGTTTAGAAAGAAATGTACAATATGAGATGCATATAATATATGAAGAAAATCAGATTATGGCCAGGCAGTGTCCAACTGAGAACAAGCTTTGATTTTATGAGCTGTATTGAATGCAGCATTCAGCATCTGCTCAAAAGCTAAATAGCCGTGCTTGTCCTTTCACATGGTAATAGCAGATAATTGGCTCGTCCTTTTTCCCTACAGGCTTGGGTCGAGTGATGGGAGCCGTCCTTGTTGAAACACAAAGTGCTACTGATTACACAAAGACATTCAGCAAGCTGACAATTTGAGCACAATATACAGAACAGTTTATGTGACCAATCATGAGCCGTAAATAACTTTTCCACTATCTGCATTCTAAAATGGCTGAACATTTTGGTGAAATCGATATCTTCTTTTGTGCAGAAGAAGGGGAAATAAAGCTCAGTTGCTCTTTGTCTATTTGACATTGAAGAAAATACTCTGCAAATGTTGGCAAATGATCCAAATGAGGTGTTTTATTTTTGGTTAAACTCACCATTTGGCATGTGTCACTGTATTTCATTTTGGCATACATCAATTTCGCTTACAGCACAGAGTAGATCTGCCTGAGGCCTTCGTTAATGATTAAGCAGAAAAGCCAAATGTGCCATAGAGTACTGCTCTCATGAGACCTTACAGCAGTTTCCTGTTGAAATTGTAAAGTGCCATGGACTGGATCTTGTACGCTCATATTGGTTCAGACAAGTGATTGTAGCCAGATTGATGTGGTGATTAAATATTTTTTTATATAAACGTCACAAACATTGGTGTCCTGATTCTGTTACTCTGGATGATGTGACATGACATGCTTAAGGTCGAAACCACAAACAGAACTCCACCAAGGTCAATTCCATAAGTAAGAAATTATGCGTCTATCCGTCCTGTGATTCAGATATGCACCAAAATATAACCTGTTATTCATTGGTCCAAGTTACACTCTTCAAACAAGTTTCATGAAAATCAAACCAGTCTTTTTTCTGTTATCCTGCTGACCAGACAAACAAGTCAAAACAATTACATAATGATCTTGGCGGTAATATACAGCTAGTACATGCATATTCACTTTTCCTCAGTCAAATCCAAACAGTTTCATCCGGTCTATCTCCACAGGTGCAGGTATGGGACACCGCAGGCCAGGAGCGCTTTCGTAAATCCATGGTGGAACACTACTACCGCAATGTCCACGCAGTGGTCTTTGTGTACGACGTCACCAAGATGGCTTCCTTCCGCAACCTACAGACATGGATAGAGGTTAGTTACTGCTTAGTAGATGGCAAAATGGTCTTTGTCAAATTATGAATGGTGGAAGAAGCAGAACCCATGTCTTTCCGTCTCAGTTTTTGTCCAGTTTCCATTGCTCCCAATGGCTAGTCCCTAAGACCATTTATTAGGCGGGTGTTGTCACTGTCATGTTTTCAACCATTTGCAACCATAATGCTAATGCTGCATCAATTCTAACCACTGCTGTAAGCAAGCAAACAACGAGGTGTACCTTGGCTTCACTTAGAAAATTACTTATCCAAAGGGGTTTGTGTGGTTGTGTACAATACTGCTAATACCACGACAACTGTCCCTATGCTTAAAATGACCTCTACTGGCACTGTGGATACTACCTTTAGTTACTACAAGTTGCATCATCAGTAGGCCTAATAATAATTGAGTCTTACTAATTGACTACTTGATATATGAGCTGTATATGGTAGTCGTATTAGTGGTAGCTAGTACAAAAGTAGCAGTATTAGCAATAGTTAGATAGTGAATGCAGTGATGGTTGTAGTGAATTAAGATCATAGATTTAACTTTTCCCTTGCAGATATATTGAGAAAAAAAGCACAGGTGAAATGAATAAGACTAATTAGCTGCTGTTTACTGTATTCTGCGTGTAGCTAACTATGACTTACTGGGAACCTAAAGGAGTATGAGTCATTTTTAATGTAACTATTTAAACCTTAATTGGTCAAAATGTGTGACAAGATTGTATGTAGACCTTAGTATTAATAGTATGGCTATTTGAAGAATTACAATGTTAGTGTGTTTGTGGTTACATAGCAGAAAATGTAGTGCTTATATGAGCACAATTTTATAATTAATCTAATATCAGTTGAAATATTAGGGCTTTAGATCTCACTTTGCAAAAAAAGTCAAATTCAAACTATTGAGAGCTGAGATATACTGTACATAGTTGGAAATCATTGGAACATTGCCTCAAAAAGCATTACATTGTCAATTTGATGTGGTTTTATTAGCCTGAGTCACAAGCTAACTGGTGACTAAAGATTTGCTGTCTTTGCAAATTGTTGAATCCTAAATGTTTCCAAACATTACTTTTCAAATGTTTCAGGTCATTGTCCATTCAGCACGACAAACTAGTTAACTCCTTTTTGCGTTGTTAAAGAGAACAGCAATAGCCACATTTGCTCTGGGCTACCGGGGATGGAATAGCTTTGTGATATTGCATTTGACCAACAGCCACCACAGAAGTTAACAAAGATTAAGGCGTGATATTTAAATGTTTTCCATGTCTGTAACATAATTCCAGTTTCACCCCTATTTACACTATGGGGGCATTTTCCATTCTTGTGCAAATGCATTGGCACATCAATATATTTTTATCTTTGTATATACACTGAACAAAAATATAAACGCAACACTTTTGTTTTTGCTCCCATTTTAAAAGTGTTGCGTTTATATTTTTGTTCAGTGTATATACAAAGATAAAAATATATTGATGTGCCAATGCATTTGCACAAGAATGNTACCTTGGTTGGTTATTGGTTAATGGTTACACAAGCTAAAAAATCGTTATGACATCACAAAGTGGCCAAAATCTGATCAGCTCACTTTCAGACAGGTTTTTATATAAATGGATCAGGACAAAAAGTGAGCGAATATTTTTTCCTGAAACGTTCAGAATCTATTTACACAGAGGGGACACATGTTTAGGTATAAAAGACATGAACAAGTGGATTTTGCATAATAGGGGACCTTTAAGGTAAAAGTACAACTTCATTATGTGTTGAGGTCGTCTGTTCTATCAGCTATGAATACACTGTACTCACCAAAGTCATTTCTTGTGATGTGCACAAGCAAGGTGGGTTAACCAGCATGTTGGACAGTAAGCTGTGGTGGATATACTTATAAGACACCAATATTTTCTATACTTCATCTTACGGTCAAGCATATACAAGAATACAAATGTGTACGTACATACCTTAAATACAAAAAACTCATTAAAAAAAAGTTATAACATGTTTTTGAAGTACCTTGAATGTTTCCTGTTGGAAGTATTTTTGTAAATACTTCCTCTAAGGTTACGTTTTCAGTGTGGTTTGTTTTGTCTGCTTGTCATTTCGGAAAAATCTATTGCCGAAATATTCATAAAACTTGGTGGAAGTGTGCAGCATTGGCCAAAGAAGAACCCATTAAATATTGGAGTGCATCCAAGTCACGGGGGACATGCGCACTATATTTCCCCAAATGGAAACAGCCTTGGCGAAAGTCTGTTCTCTTCCAGTGCGTTTCGTTTTAAATTGGTTGAACATAACATCAGCATGAAGCAATAAATGTTTCTAACTATGCCACACCTTGCCCTTCGCCATGTTTTGCCGTTTTAGTGAAGGTTCACCACCCTCCCCATTGTACATCTGGTGCAGTTGCCAGTTAAATCCATCCGTAAAGAGGTTTGCACTGAATTTGCTCCTTGTTGCTTTTCGGTGATTACGTGCACCTGTTACAACATAAACCATGCATTAGGTAGAGCTGTGAGAATCACTGAGCCTGTATTTGTGCTTGATATTGTCATGATTTTAAAAGAATGATACTGCAAAAACGTGAGTGATAGCTCCAGTTCTTCAACGCTGCCTTTTCAGTGCAGTGGAGTTCAGGAGTTATAATCCACTGTGTGGTCACTCCACTTTTCCCGTCACTATGCTGCACCTGGCCTAAATATAGGATTGGACGTCCAAACAGCTACTGCAATGTATCTTCCAAATTTGGCTTCTCCTGTCATTGTGCTATAAAGCAATGGGCAATGGGCATGTTAGTGAAAGCAATGCAGTGACGGTTACATTAAAGGAGATCTATACAGTGGCCCCTGTAATGTGTTGCTACTGGTGCAGCTTCACTGAAATACGCCTCTTAGTACTGACAAGTGTTCCCTAAAACATGTTGTACTGTGCAGTTTTTAGACCGGGTGTTCCTTGAACCTGTCACGAACTGTACTTATCCCCAGCATTTGTGTCTTAATCCGACCACTTCACCTTTGTCCGAGATCAGCCGAGGAAGCAGCAGCAGCGTGTCAATAACAGTTTTCAGCCCTCGGCCCTCATTTTCTATCATACACTTGCTGCAGCACATGCCCAGCGGCACGTTTTACTGTTTATGCCTTGCTATGAATAATGATTGACCAGATGGTAGAAAGTTCTCGCTCAGCATGTGCTGTAGCGCTAGCTGTAACAGTGTGACATCACTGTCCTGTCCCTAAAAAAGTCCTCCTACGCAGCGTGTTTTTCCCTGTGATGAGAGGACACGAGGAGTCCAAATGTATCGGAAGTAATATTTTTAAGACACACTGTGGGCTGTGTGTCTTTGTTTTGGAGTGTGTGTCTCTGTGAGTGTGTATTTTGGTCTGGTCTGGGGCAACATGCCAGCACTACTCTGCATCACACTCTGCAAGTACAAACAGCAGCCTCAGATGAAGAGAAGGGAGGAGAGTTAACCATAGAGCATGATGGGAATAAAACACTGCCCGCCATGAGCAATATTGTCTGAAAGTGCTGTTTCATGACCTTGATCAATTTCAGCCATTTCAACCTAAAAAAATCAATATTCCAGGCGTCTGCAGACCTTAAAAGCACCACATCAAAATTCAACCAATTTTCAAGGTTTTTAAACACCTGCGGGAACACTGGTTGTGTGTGTGTGTGTGTGTGTGTGTGTGTGTGTGTGTGTGTGTGTGTGTGTGTGTGTGTGTGTGTGTGTGTGTGTGTGTGTGTGTGTAAGAAAAGGCTGTCCAAAACTAGGTCAGACACTAAGAGACAGAGCAAAAATAGGGAGAGCAAAAAGGAAAGGATTTTTAAAAGCAACTGTAGGATGAGTTTAAGAATAATTACATGGCAAAAAAAGATGGAGATAGGCAATTAGGATAAGGGCAAAATAGAGTTACACGTATACATTCAATTCCAACTCATTACACAGTTTTTATAACGACCAGAGTTACTGTTTGTTTAGAGATTTTCCTCTTTTATTCTTTTCCATTGGAGCCTTTCGCAGTGCTTTTGTTAAAGCCAGAGCTGTGCCGGTAATTTAAATGTAAATGATGACACAGAGAGTTAGACTCACACACAGACAAAGAGCCCAAAAGAAATACAAACTAATAGTCAGGAAGGACCAAGTTCTCAGCTTTTTGCTCATTATACTTGCTGTGTATCTTGCAGAAGTTGAGAAGTGCATGTCATGAATTTTCAATATGTGCCCGGGCTTTTCTCTTCTCAAGCTTCTTTCTCTCTGTCTGGTAATTGAAGAGGAAGTGGAACAACACGGTACCACAGCTCCCCCATGTTGTTAGAAATAGAATTGCACTATGGACAACATTTGGGGATGGTATTTTTTTCACACATTTTTTAAATGACCTCATTTAACCTTTACAGAAAATACTGAAGCTAAACAGCTGTTTACAGAATTTGTTCTATCTTTTTTCACACACATTTAAACTGTAAGTAAGCCTGAATAGTGTGTCTACCTCCTTTTACTTCAAATCTGTCTTTTGTCCATTTCTTTAAGTAAAATATGGTTTATTACAAAAAAAGTAAACGTTTCAAATTGTCTAGCTTGCAAACCATATCAGTTTAATGAACTTGGCTTACAGGGTACAGGTCCAGGGGCCCAATGTGTCAGGGGGCCCTTTGACCTTCACATATCATACGTCACTCAAAGAGATGCACATCTAAGACACTTGAAATGACCACAGAGATGCAAAGAGACACACACAAAAAACACAAAACAACAATGAAAGACACAAAATATCTAAAAACAGACACAAAACAATTGCAAAGAGTCATACAAAACTTTCACAGGCACAACTAGTCACAGAACAACAACGGATCACAAAAGAAATTCAAAGACATGCAAAACAACTGTAAAAAGACAGAATAACTAAAAAGAGACTCAAAACACCAACAAATCACTAAAAAACTTCAAAGAAATGAAAAACAACAACAACCTTGCCAGAGTTAATTTAAAGAAATTACAATATACGTAATTATGTCTATCTAGCTAGCCAACAAGACTTGAACTACCTCCAACTCTGATGTGTAAAAAGTTGGTTCAGAAGTTAATTATCACCGATGTCTCGATTCAAAACCTTCCCCATGCTAATGA